TGGGGGCCGCAGGCGCCGGCAGCAGCAGCAGCGGGCAGCGCAGCAGGAGCATCCTACAACAACAACAGGGGGTCCCACCTGAGGAGGGCAGCAGGAGCTGCCGCCAGCTCATCCCAGGACAGGTTTATTTGTGACCCGCGGCCGCTGACTTGGCTAGCTGCGAACCCGGGTGGCTGTTGGGGGCCGATTTACTGCTGAAACGCAGGCATACCTATAACAATGTCTCATGCGCTTTGTGTTTTGCAGGCACCTTCACTGTACTGCCGTACAAGCACTAGGAATACACGTTGTAAGGACTAAGCTTGCATCGTCACAGCGCTTGGGTAAAGTATGTAAATAAGATTTTTTCCATCTTGAACTGTAATTGAAAGCAAGCCCACGCACTGGTTGCACATTGGTACCTCTCCCTCTCATCAACAAAGAGCAAAAGCCTTCCACATGCTTTGATGAAGCTACAGTTTGGTGTTTTGCCATAGCAGAAATAGAGCTCGCTGGACCTGGGAGCTAGAGTAAGCACAGAGCAGATGGAGGGCACATCGACCTCACTTTCCGCAGGAGATTCTGGTTGGGCTTCTAACAATCCTTTGAAAAGTAAGTATTTCCAGTGAAATTGTTCTTTATAAAAATAGTGAATTAGGAAAACATGTGATATAAACCCACACATATTCAAAGCACATTGGTATTAGCATGCAATTCAGCAGGGCTTAATTCTCAAGCCTGATGGGAATTGCAAAACACAAAAGCAGAGAATCCCTTACAAATTAGGCATAATAATTCATAATCTCAGCCTTTCATTATTATGTCTACAAGTAGGTCAGTAATGACTACCCTAACATATACAGTGGGACAGGCTGGAAATCTCCTTTCAGTACAGTAGATGATCTCATATGTAATGGCTCTGGTATGGGGAGGCGGTAGGGGGGAAACAAAGCCCATTCCTAGTACAAGTATAACGAATTTAAATTGCTAAATGTTTTTTGTTTTTTTTTTTAAATTAGAAAAAAAAGAGGTTTAGACCATTACCTAAACTGTGTTAGCCACTGGCTTTGGGACAAAAAGCTGAGCTGGCAGGAACAGTTTTATCTTGTTACTTGGCTGAATGTGCAGTCATGCACCACTCCTTGTACTGCACTGTAAGTTAACTGTGGCTTTATAACAAATTCTTTTTACCTTCAAGATCAAATCTGCTGTTGAGATTGTTTTTTTCTTCCCCTCCACTTGACCTTTCCCTAAAATTTTATGTAACAATAGCAAACATAAAGCTTCTTGAGAAGTGGCACAATGTAGTCTAAGCCATAATAAAATTGCTCTTCCCCTTCAAGCACTTCATGAAAATATAAACAGGCGCCCCAGAGGGAATCCCCAGCAGCTTCTTCCTTCCCCCTCCCATGGCTTTACCTTCCAAAAACCCCAAAGGAGCCACTGGCGGCCAGTGTGGTCACAGCACAGGACCCTTCTTCTCACCCCAGCCCACCCCCTCTGGCCCTTTGGGAGCTTTCAGCCAGAACCCCTCCCCGGCAGCCCCAAAATCCCCATGTGCCCCTTCCCGCTTTCCTCTTCACAGAGGCAAGTGGCCAGCAGCCTACCAGCCTCTGCCGCCCTCATCATCACCACGTCCCTGCCAAAGCTCTGCAAGGCCTGTGGAAGGCTGTTTTCACCCTCATATTGCTTCCTCTGCCTCAACATCGCTGTCAGTTAATTGCTCCTTCCACCAGCGGCGCAGGTGTCGTGTCCCCCCCCAATCCCTCCCTTCCTCTCCACTGTCCCAGGCCCCCCTTACCTCGGCTCATTCCCGCCCTGCTTTCTACTGTTTTCTCCCACTCGTGCTGTCCAGCTCAGTCCCTGTCCTTCATCTCTCTATTTTCCCATGAAACTGGTGATGCAAGAGGGAAGAGAAAATACGTAGCAAACCCCAGAATATCCGTAAGCCACAAGTGGTGCGTACTGAAAATTCCCTCACCAGGGTGCCATTCTATCTTCGCCTCTTTTCGCTCGTGCCTTCCCTCACACCGAAGGCTGCTACGCCTTCCTCCGCTTTCTCCCTCCCCATCCCGCTTCATATTCCTGTGTTTGCAGCCAGATCCTCCCCTTCCAGAGTGGAAAACCATAGGAAAGACAAAAGCGAATGCTTGAGGTTCACCTGGCAGAGTTTCCCCCATGGTCATATCCCAGGTGGGCACGGAGACCGCGGAGAAGCCCCGTTCCCCCCGCGAGCAAGCGGCAAGCGTGCCGGGGAGCCCTGCAGTGAGCTTGCCGGTCGATGGCCCTGCCGACTTGCAGGGGAGCCCTGCCTGTGCCGAGGCTGCCAAAAGTTATTTTGCAGTCGGAGAAGGCTGCGCCCTTATTTATTCAGCGATAACCTGGTGACAGCAACACACGGCAGCGGTTCCCTGTTCGCAGGGCTTGTAATGCTTCATCTCCGGCGCTCACAGGTCTCAAATTGTGCGCTTCGTTATTGTTTGGGATGGTTTAATAACAGGTTATTGCAGTGCTCTGCCCTACGGAAGGGAAAGGAGTAAAGGGCTTTACCTAAGACATGCAATTGCTACTTACAGTTAAATCCTGATTTAGCCTTCCCGTTGTTTGTCAAAATTTATCCCAACCGGGTCCTGACTTAGCTTTTGATGACAACAGACATATTTCCTCAAATTCAGACTGAAGTGTTGATACTTATCAGCAAAGTTAATGACATTTGACCTCCTGGAGCAAAGATCGTAAGTCAAAATACTTGCTGACTTGAGTCACCAAAGGCAGCAGAAACCTCCTCTCACACAAAGCAAGATGAGTTTCGTGTGCTCTGACACGCTGTTTATTGATTTTTCAAGTATTATCGTTGGCCAACAGGGAAGAAATGCTTTCCAGCTTAATCACAACAGTTACAGCAGATTATTTGGTTAGGTAAGAAACCCTGACACTTTCTGCAGACAGCATCCTCCACATGAACCCCTTGAAATTGCAATCTTGTGTATTCCCATAGTCAGTTCCAGTGCAATGTAACCTCTACTAAAATAAACGATTTTTGATTATAGGACTACCCAGGCTAAGCTTGACTTCTTAAATAATTTCACTAGCTAATTCACTTTAAAAACTCCTGTCCCTGTTAACAACTGCGGCGTAACGACAAGGTACAGATTTGTCTCCGGTTTCTTTACGCAACTGTAAAAGCATTTTGGCTTAAAAATTACAAAAGACCTGTGAAGGTTAGTTCTGTGATCCCTGCCCAGCCTGGGCAGGCAGCACTGTCCTATCCCATACATGAAATAGCTTGCAAAGTTGTCAACTGTTACTGGGGGAAAAAAAAAAAAAAAACCAAAAAGTTTTATAATCATTGCTTTCAAGCGAATAGGATTTTGAGTGCTTTCATTTTCACATATCCAACCTCAGGGGCTGAAAATGGGCCCAATTTTCATGCATGACACTTCCAAAAGCGGGACACCTCAACGGCAAAGAGGCATCCAAAACTCACTCACAGTTTCTGGAAACTGCTGTCAGTGTTACACCACCCTTTCACACCAGTTAAACAGATTTTTATTTTTTTTTGCAGCGCACTCATTATAATTTGGCAGAGTTTTAAGCTAAATCCTCTATAGTTTACTCATGCAAAACATCAAGGGGAAAGCAAAAAAATCATTTATTCGCCCCACGTTTCTTTCCAGGGAAGTTCACCGCTGGGCAGTGACTTTGACGGAGTCCCTCAGAAAATGCACTTGCTAGATGCGAGCCTGGGAATTCGTGCTCTCCCACCCAGCCCTCGGAAACTTCCAACAAATGATTTCCTTGTCTCGGTGTGCCATGGTCTGAACGAGTTTCATTTTTAGAAGCCAGGTACAAGCTGAGGCCTAAGCGCTGCCCTGTAAAGCCATACAAATTATGTGAAATATGTTGTGTGATTGTTTATTCTCCAGACTGTGCCACCTCCTAAATGCCTTTTATTCCCTCTTCTACAAGTTCGTCTTGTTTTCTTTTCTTTTAAACTCTGAATAAATATTTTATTGA